ATCCAATTACATAATAAGCATTGTAACAAGAACAGAGGGAAAATTAGCATGCAAATTGGACATTCTTTGTCATTAAAATAAAGATATGAATTTCCGTTAGACAAAGATAACAAAAGAAACATATGGGAGATAATTTTAAACAATGTAAATTAGTTAAATGATTTACAATATGAAATTTATTTGATTATATATGTGTATGGTTGGAGTCTCACGAATCGGAATTCGCGACAGGTAAATGTATCAACGCATTTCAATCTAACTATGTTTTTTTGTCCAGTTCCCACCAACAACAATTTGAGGGGGAGGAGAGGGAAGTAAAAATTTTTAATTTTCTCACAGGTTCAAAACTGTCGCAGTGGCTTGAAAATAAAACTGTTACTCGTCACTATTTAGCTATTTCCTTTTTTAGCTTCGTGTACTGTTCGATGAACTTAGGAATAACGTGGAGCGTCGTGATCGTCTGCGTAATGTTGTACCAAATTTAATTGCTGCAGTCGAAAAAAATGATTTCGGTAAGAGATCCAGCATACTGCTTGAAACATCCTTACTCTACAACTTTGATGGCACTTGCCTAAGGGAAGGGATTTAATAGTGCATTAGCTTCTTTATCTTTTTCACTGCAATTTTGTTCCTCACAATGATTTTTTATGCAATGGATTAAATTCATCAGTCTAAAATTGGAAATCTAGAGGCAATGTGTGAAAAGCGTATTTTACTTTCTTGCCAACTTTCACTATGGAAAAACTGTCCCGTTTAGGCTGATTAGTATACCAGCTATCAGTTCCATGGCTTTACATATGATGCGCGCGATTTGTATGATGTATTCGTTTTGCGTTTTCATTTATGTGAATATTTCTTACCAGCTACACTGCTGAAATATTGACGGATTTTGGATTATAAGAAGATAATTTTGTTATATACTGATAACGACTCTGTTGCAGATATGTTTAAAATGAAATATATTGCTGAACGAGAAAGTGCCTTTGCTCGAGAACGAGCAATGCTTGATCCAACAAGTGCCGAAGGACAGCGATTGATTGCTGAACAGATCCAACGTGAAAACATTGACTTTTCACACCAGTTCGCAATGGAACATATGCCCGAAGCTTATATACCTGTCTTAATGTTGTACATCAAAATGAAAATAAATGGAGTCGAAGTAAAAGCATTCGTGGATTCAGGTTTGTTAGAGTAGCTGATGTTTCTGATGAAGTTACTTTATAATGACGGTCACGAGGCCAACTTTTAAGATTGAAAATCAAAAGTTCGCATTCTCAGGAGCACAAGTGTCCATATTATCTGATTCCATTGCGCAGCGTTGTAATTTGATGCGCCTAGTGGATAAGAGGTTTCAAGCAACAGTGCATGGAGTTGGTGGCGCTCAACAATTATTGGGAAAAATACACGCATGTAAGTAGTAACTTTCCTTGTATTATGTACTTCAATACTAGTCAGTGCTAGCTTACTATAAGTAATGTTATATACAACTTTTGTATACCATTCCCACGTCTCAGGCCAAGTTCAAGTTGAAGAACAGTTTTTCTCATGTAATTTCGATGTTCTGGCAAATCGTGATATTGATGTTCTGCTTGGCCTCGATATTCTTAAACGACACCGTTGCGTCATCGATTTACAAAACAATTGTTTGCGGTGAGAGAATTCCTTATGTTCGAGTGTTAAATTTTCTTGACATGCTGAACGAACATGAAACCATTCAGTACGCAAGCACTTAAGTGAAAAAAAAATAAAATGTAAGAAACGATTTAAAAGTTGTACTATTTATCGTTCGGCTATTTAATGCTCTTTAATTACGTCGAAGTACCGATGTAGTTAAAGAGAAGACGTTGAAAATAGCTCAGCGATAATTGGGTCTTATAAAAACAGGTTTTATAAAAATGCTTCATAGATTCGGTGAATCAGCAGGCTTACAAAAATCCTTTACAGATTCGGCAAATCAGCAGTTACACATTTCCTACCAGACTCTGAAGTTCCACAAAGAAATCTGGAACGAGTCGGGACTACAAATGCTACTAATGCAAATGGTACTTCTTAGTAAAACTTTTCCAGATAAATTAATATTCAAAAGCAATTGCTAGTTTCACGTTCAATAACCTGAAGAAAATTTAGGCATCTGTTCTGGAAAAGTTTTAAAAGTTTTGTTTTTGTTGTCATTTTATCTCTGTATTAACTGGAGTTTTCAAGGATTTCTTTCTTTTTTTTTGCAGCAGAAGTGGACAGCGCAAAATTGGCTTCACTGATGGCACTTGGTTTTGAGGAAGGAGCAGCCCGTGCAATGCTTATACAATGTGGAAATGATGTTGAAGCGGCGGCTGCAAATTTATTAGCCAGGCAATCAACGCTGTGAATTGACTGTGTGGGAAAAACGTTCCAGCATGGTATATTAAGGGAAGAGGTAGACAGATAAGCAATTATTAAACTGATTGTGGAAATAAACCTGAAATTGCTAAACATTCAAGTCAGTCACTATCCCTTTGTACAAAGATGGGATTTTTAAAAATCTGCCTGAGAGTCTTGCAGTTTGATGGAATTCCTTAAAATACCTAACTAAATGAATAGGCTATGGGATAGCATAGGTTCTCTTAAGGCAAATATTGCAAAATCATGTGTTATGGCAAGTTAAATATGCATATAAGGAGTTGTTTAAAAATAAATAGTAAAAATGCATGTTATGTGTTAAAGATATTTCAGTACGTTGAAGCCCTAGACATCTTGCATCCATTCGTCTGTTTCCACAAAAAGTACAATTTATATCCTTCCTCCTGTAAGTGACCTCCATTTCTGCGAATCATTCATAGTCTATTCCAGCCCGTCACTTGACTGCTTTCCATTCTCTTTCCTTCTACTTTGCCTCCTGAGCTGTTGTTGTCCTTCCCACTTCAAGATTTTGACATCAACCTCATATGTGTAGAACGAAATATCAGTGTGCTGCAGCATAACTGAATTTGCACGGGGTGTTTTTTAATATACTGCTTACTATTCAAAAGGAAATAAGTATGATAACTTGCGGGAAGCTTGCCTGGAACCTACGGCTTGTGCTGAGTACATTAGAAAAATTTGTTGGAAGCAATAAAAAAAACAAAAACAGAATGAACACGATTCAGGTCGCGAATTCAGGTCTGACAGCTTTTTGAAACTTCATTCAATTAGGAAGTCACCGATTAATTATAAATTTTATTAAAATACGAAAACTGAAGCAGGTTGGTATATCGACCGGTAAAACAATGCATGTCTTTTTCCCCAAATAAAGCAGTACATACTACTGGATTTTAACAACCGGCCGAGTTCACGAAAAAAAGAAACATTAACAGCAACATTCCAACAATTTTACCAGCAACAACAACCCGAGAATATCAAATTAAAGAAGACTACAACCGGAAATTCAAAAAGAACTAGGAAAAACAAATCAGGGCTTGCCACAATTACGGAGCTGCACCATGCTATAACCTGATAGCAGTAGATAGGCCATAAGAATTTTTGTGAATAAAAACACGTATAAATCTCCATGCCGATTGGAACAAAAAGCATATTTCTATTACCTTATAAATTTCTTGAAATAAGAACATGAAAATAACTTGTGGCAACAACATCAAATTAACTGAGTAAGAAGAATACTAGACAATGCACAATATGAGTTTATTTAAGACTGAAATATTATTTAAGAGTCTGTGACCATGATTTGAAGCAAAATAATATTGCCTTTGATACAGAATCCTTTGAAGAGTTAAAAAACTTTAAGATTTTTTCTCCGCACGGATATTTCATAAACAAATAGAACATTCATGCATCATTACATGGCGCAAAGTAGGAATTCACAAGAATGAATAAACTCTTATTAGATGGAGAATACAACCTATATCTATTTCCAGTCAGCAAGCGCCAGATCAAGCGCTACGAGCAGAATATCGCTTTTTTGCTTGATATAATTCACTCCTCAATCGCATGTTTTCAACGCGTAAATGCCGATTTTCTTCTTTCACTTCATGAATAGCATTTTCAAGATGCACAATTTGTTCATCTTTTACATTTACTGCTTTACCAAACTCGGTGACTTGACACTGAAGCTGTTTGATTTGCTCATCTTTCATTTTTTGTTGCTGCTTCGCTTTAGTACGCGACCGTCTTACGGCATCGTTGTTTTTTCACGCTTCAATCGATACAATGGATTTCTCTTTTCTGCCTGTAAGAGGTATTAAAATTAATCAGAATATTCACAAGTCCATAGAAGGATGAAACATCGAATGAATTTTCAACATGTTTATGTGTATATAATCAAACATATTTCCATATAAGAAACTGTTTCTTTAGAAGATTAACTCATCAGTTGGCTTAACGACAACAATTATATTTCTATTTCAAGAAATTTGAATTTCAAAGCTCCAAAAAACTCGCTGAATTGACGTTGTGCATGCATACTTCTGGCTTCAGTGAATACTTTCTGGGCTTAATAGTTGGTGTAAAAGAAATTTCAATTTGATCTGATGTATCCTCCTTCACGGATATTGTCGGCCGAGTTCCTCGCTCTCCTTTCATTTCTTCACTGTTTGTTATTTCCGTCTTCACCGGCTGAAAACTTGCTGCAAAACCTGACGTTTCTGGAACTGCGACTAGTGCATCATCCAAACTTGTGTCGGATTTTATAGCTTTTGCTGAAAAAGATATCTTGGAAGAAATAACATAAGGAAAATTGTTAAAATCATCCCTGAAACCCTTTTCTCCCCGCGCGCTAATTCTACGAAAATTAACTTTGATTCAAAATTTAGGAATTTCTATAAAATTCTAGTATCTGATACCAACAACAAATTAAGACAGATTTATACAGCACCGACTACATTCCATAAAATGACCTAAGTCAAAAATGCGGTAACAGTCTTACCAATGTTTGACAAATCTGCATATTGAGCAGTACACGCACAAACGCCATGTTGCATTTGTATGTCATATTCAAGTACTCGTTGTTTATCGATAACAGGCTCCAGATCTTCACTATTGTCATCTATTCCTCGAAGATCCCTTAAATAAGGAGTCAGATCCATGCTTTGATCCATAAAGTCAAAACCATCTTGTTCTTGCAACTGTTGACAAAGCATTAGCGAATCCTGAAATTCCACCACGCTACCAAAGGGCAATTTTCGTTTTTCTTTTTTTCACTTTTTCTTAATTCCTTTTTAAGTTTTTCTTTTTTTATTTTTTCCGGATCCTTTTTCAAGTTTTTCTTTTTTGTTTTTCCTTAATTCCTTTTTTAAGTTTTTTAAAATTCTTTAATTTTGCTACATAATACGGTAAATAAGCGCTTTCGTATAATCCTGCACAAAAGACAACAAACAATCAAAAACCCGAAAAAAATTAGCATAGAAAATTAGCAGTAGTAAAAATAATAAAATCCCTTAAACCGTCAAAGATCAGGAATAACAAAGGAGGGAAAACTGAACAAGGGAACAAATTTATGCAGAGAAAACGTGAATGAATTACTTGTCGATCAACTGGCTGCGTAACACCATCAGTACCAGCTTTAAAACGATTTCGTCCTTCGAAAGTTTTCGTATTCATCGAGTAGCGACCATCACAGGTGGTGTTATTCAATATACTCTCCGCACTTTCGATATTCCTTGACATTTTTGACAATTTTGTTCCAGCACTGATTAAATATCGAACAAGCATATATCAAAACTTCCAAATCTAAAAAATAAGCATAACATTTGACGGATGGAATATATTAATAAAAATTACTCTGACGAACAAGTAGGTAAAACTAAAGTTTAAGTCAAGGTAAACTTCAAAAGAAAACAGTTTACAGCTCTACCGAAAACAAGTTCAGAAACAGCAGAGCTTCGTTACAATAATTTGTCTGCTTACAATATGTTTTATCATTTGATGATATTTCCCCAATTAACTACCACCTCCATTTTCCGAAGTTTCTTCAGAATTAAGTCGAATATAATGAATGTAAAGTACTCTATTTTTCAAAAAACTTTATCTTTCAGCTACGTCCTGTTATACACGAACTCTGCATAGTACTAGGGAAAACACGGGTAATCAATATGCACTTTGTTACTATTAGAATAATATATATTTGTTTATTTATAATAAAAGAAAAACGCATGGGAGCGAAGGATAAAGTAAAACTAAGTAAAAAATTGACTCAAAAAAATACTACATTTAAGTGACCAGTTCAACTAAATCGGCAATGAAATAGTCGAATAACATCGAAATTGTCAAGCCAATGTTCCAACGATTCAAAGTGATGTGGTTGAGATACTTCCCATCAACACACCACTACTATTACTACTATTACCATTATTCACTCTTATCATCTCACTCATTCGGCTAACGAAAAGTATGAAAGTTTCCGATAATGATGAAATAGGTTAGTACCAAGTAGTCTTTATAAATCATAACAATACCAACAACTGCCTTTCTAGTACGCAATAATCTCCCGCAGCATATGACACAAAAACATAAATTTTTAAAAAAATCTTTAAAAAAAGTAGTCTTTAAAAAATCTTTAAAATAATCTTTAAAAAACTTATCTTTAAAAGAAAGTGGAAAAACAAATAGTTACATATGTAAATTTGTATCACTAACAAATAGCACGCATTAAACATCAATAATTGCAGTGTTAGGTAAAAACAGTTTTGATAAAGTCATAGCTCGAAATTTGACGGCTGAAATTGATAAGCCACCACCTCCGGCCCTTAAACAGTTGTATAAGTGAAACTGGAGACCGGGAAATATTTCTGATGAGCCATCCACTAAGTTTATGCCTCCCCCCCCTCCCCCAACACGTCCTATACCAGAACATCCCCGCCCACTAACAAATACGAAAGTGATGATTACCACGACATGTAACACTCTTCCTTCCCACCTTCACAGCAAGACTCATTTCGCAACAACCTCTTATGAGTCATTCCCATCGCAACATAGCTGTCACGCGATAAGTCAGCTGACAAGTGCGCTGCTATGCTTCTGGGAATGCTTAAAGTGATTGCTTGCACACGAAACTTTTTCAAAATACAAAAAATTATTCTAGGACCTATCGATGCTCATGCAGCTCTCATCGATGACAATTTCAATCCCACTTGTAATGATTGTCGAATATATATAGCATAAGCGGAGACTTCATAATTCATTATTTCTTGCAAAAGAATTCATGACTTCTACTTAACCTTTGCTACCATTAGTTTCACGTTTTCTCTATTCTGTTCATTTTGTGATTGGTCCCAAATTATTAATCCCATCTCGCCATTGCAGCAGATCACTGTCGTATCCAACTCATGGAGTACCCATTAACGTTAGCCGTCTTTATCCCATTAATTGCAGAATTGATGGACACTGTTGAAGTGCTTGGATGAACTGATTGGACATAAAAGAATATGAGCAGGAATCGGTATAAACAAAATACATATTATATTGAGCAGTGTCCTATAACTAAGGTTAGCTCCTTCTACACTTCGCTGGGGTTGTTATAAATCATTTTCTTACGATGATTTCTTGAATGGTTTTTGCTGTTGATGGATAAAAACAAGAGGAACTGTTTAATTACTACTCCCAATTTTGATGAAATACCACAGATGACTCGTATAGTTATTTCCCAACATTTATGGTGAGTGTCGGTTCCCAATCCAGAAAGCCTGTTTCAAGTTCAGGTTATTACATTAAGCATAAGCTTATCACTTTAATAGTGAAGTTTTAAGATTGTTGTATGCGTGAAAATTTTTCAGGAAAGTTCTGCAGCTTAGAAAACTGAAAATGCTATACTTAGCCAATATCCTTATAACATTATCTTTTAAACTGCTGTTCACTTGTCATCAGCTCACCTACGTCCAACTGTGCTAAATAGTTTTGTCTCGTAATTTTAATTTGATTCTTCAGAAAAAATCTCGTCGTAGGGAATTACCAGTCAATGGAGTTCGTTTACAGCTGGCAAAAGTGATTAGAGAAAATGGCGTATCAGTCATTGTTGGTGAAACTGGAAGTGGTAAAAGCACGCAGATTCCTCAGGTTATTCACGGTTCTTTTGAATGTATTTAAGGGAAAACTGTAGAAGTTTTAGTAATTTTTTGGCTGAATCTGGTTCGTTTTAAAAACTATAAACATTGTTCATGAAATTTGAATAAGATTACTTCTTTAGGGAGTTATAATGGAATGTTATTAATTTCATTTGAAAATAAAAACGAAAGCTTCTGAATATTCCATCTAATTATTCGAAGTCTTCTGCATTCCTAACAATACAGAGCAGTTAGTGCCCAAAAAGGAAATTCATAATTCTAAGTTGCAAGTTTTCTTCTACGAAATGTGACATATGGCCGTCTCATCATACTAAGGGCAAAAAAAATATCTAAATTTTGTCGAAAACAAAAAATCCGAATTTTATCGAGAACGACTACATTGCTCCTTCAAGCAATCATTAAAATTGATCTAGGTTTTATCGGCATAAAACCAGGCGATTCGAGTGTTGTTATTAACTTACGTCGTAAAGCTTAAACTTATCCATCTCTCAAACTCACAACTTTTGGGATGTACTGCATCTGTTGCTAATCATGAACATTGTTCAGATTTGTTATAATGAGGGTTTGATCGGAAGTGGTCTCTTGGCTGTTACACAGCCACGACGTGTTGCTGCAATTACACTTGCGAGACATGTCGCTTTGGAAATGAATGCAAATCTTGGTGAAGTGGTAAAATTTTTATACAAGTAATACTTATATTTGCGGAAATACAGTGAGTGTTGTTTATTTAATGACACAAAATTAAAACGTAAGCAGATGATTTGGAATTTTTTTTCAACAAATAACAAAAAAGAAATACGGAGAAAAGTTAACACTTGTTGTAAAAGAAATACTAAATCTGAATTGTTGTTGACTGGCTTTTATTATAGCCTTGCTAAAAGTAATATATTTTTGACTTTGATGACGTTGACGTTGTCGATCTTTTATCGACAGCATCAAGGTCATCATCATGATTGGGCTTCGCGGACGAAAATATAGGAATGGCTTTATCCACCTTTGCTGCAAGCGCGTTAATGATAAAAAGGGCCGATGCGGGACAGGCAATTCCGTCGCAAAGGCGTAGCGGCAAGCCTTCTCAGACAGTATTGGCAAAACACTGTTCTTTCTGCGTTCTGTTTTCTCCTCGAGGTTGATTCTGTGTTCTCAAAGAATCAGCAACGTTATGGATAATGTGTGTCCATGTCTCCCAGTTCGAGGTCAGAGCGGACCATTGATGATAGGTTAATGTGGCCAATGCCGAAGCATTGTTTCCAGGGGTCTTTATATCTCTCCTCTTTGGGACTGTTTTGCGAAAGCCGGCGACGGGTTCACCGTAGAGCACAATCTAGGGAAGGGGAAGGAGAGAGGGGGGAGGGGATGATCCTTCATCCTGGAGATGTACCCTCCTTGCGCAGCTACGTTCTCAGTTCTCAGCAACATAGCTTCAGTACTGGTTACCGCTCCATGTTCAAGAACGGGTACATTAGTCATGTAATCAGTTCAATGGATATTTAGGATCGTACAGAAGTAAGCTTCGAGGAGTCACAGATGGTAGCGGTAGATGACCCGTGATTCAGACCCATATAAAAGAATAAGCG